GTACAACATTTAACCCTTCAATATATATGAGCAGTAAATAAGTGTTGCTTTCATATTCTTATGTAGAGTAATGACGATATATTTTCACATGTGCGCACTTACATACGAGCAGTCTCACTTTTTTTTTTACCATTAATGGTTAGCTACTTATATTGTTCCATTTATTAACATTAAATAACATTACAGGTACTTCAAGCAACCATATTAATTTTTTACATTAATTTTACTACAGCTAAACTCAGGGTCTTATTTTCTTCAGTTTTATATGTAGAACCAATCAGTCACTGGTTTCGTAAGCTTTAACATAAACAATGCCGGCAGCCGTCTCGTCTCCTCTAATATTCCACGTATTATTAATAAATTGTATTGTTAATTTTGCACACACGTACATTAATTCAATAAAAACAAATTCAGAAACATTAATTAAAATATATATGAACAGTAAATAAGTGTTGCTTTCATATTCTTATGTAAAGTAATGACGATATGTTTTCACGTGTGCGCATGCGCACTTACATACGCGATCTCTCTTTTTTCTTTACCATTATCATTAGCTACTTCTATTGTTCCATTTATTAACATTAAATAACATTACTTAAAACAACCATATTAATTTTACTACAGCTACAACCAAGGTCTTATTTTCTTCAGTTTTATATGTAGAACCAGTCAGTCACTGGTTTTGTAATCAACGAAAACAATGCTGTGTCATTTCCTCGTGTTTTAATATTCTACGTATTATTAATGAATTGTATTGCTCATTTTGCACACATAAACATTAATTCAATAAAAAAGACATTCAGTAATAAACAATAATGAATCTTTTGTACACAAGAGAAATGATGCTGTTTACACGATTATGCACGTCGTCTGCACGTTGGCGGGCCGTTCAAACCCGTCGAAATTCAAGTTTCTGCCGTCAAAATTTTTATTAATTTATTTTTTTGTGTTCCAATAAAATGCGTTAAGAATTAAAAACTCGCGAAATTTGAGAAGCTACTATATGACATTTAACCCTTCAATATGTCTTCAAAGAGACCATGACGAAGAGAAAGTGGTGCTAGTGCTTCCAGGCATAAGCACAAGTCACTATCTATCCAGGAAAAGGGTGAATTTCCATGGTCCGGCAATTTCCATGGTCCGGCACCGGTCAGGTCCCGAGGTTGCCGGACTAGAGAGGTACAACCTTGTAGTACCAGTAACTTCAGCACCTACTGAGAGAGTATTCAGTGTTGCTTGCCGAATCTTCATGCCAGATAGGTGCCAGTTTAGTGATAAAACTTTCCAGAGTATAATAAGCATTAATTTCCAAATCCCTGCTGTCCTGAGGTGTAACCATTCAATATTTTCTTACTGTTATTAATGTATATTATGTACAGGACATTTTATTTGTTTAAATGAATAGCATTAGATTGTTTTTATTCTTAAAACTATGTTTGATTTAATGGACATAGTATGTTTCAAAACTTGAGGTCTAATTCATGTCTATAAATAATTAATGTTAAATTTGAAAATTAATAATACAGTATTGTTTTGATAATCTACATTTAGTGAAAGTAACGTCTTAGGTATATCTGAGTATGCAGTATACCATACATTTAATTTTATCAGAGCACTAAATTACTATCCTCTAATAAGCATTTATGTTAAAAAAAATTCCAAAACTTGAGAACACTTCAGAGTTACTTAGGTCAGATACATTCCTGTACAGTATTTATAATTTCCATATTAATCTTATAAAAATTTAGAGCCATCTATTCAAGATTTTGATTTATGCACATTCCTTTCGAAGTAATCATGATTGTAATCATGATTATGCTTCATGTAATCATAATTGATTACATCCATTTTTACTGTAATTGTAATCATACTGCAATCATAAAATTACCATGTAATCGTAATTGAATACATTACCGATGTAATCGCCCCAAGTCTGTTGTACTCTCCTGAATATTTACAAAGAACACATTAAAAACTGGTAAATATTTAGTAGTTGCCAACACCTACTAATATATTGAGTCATATAAGGAGAATGAGAAAAAATAAAAATAACTTATTCTATAGCATTTCTGTTAGAAATTTTAATTTTTTTAGTAATTCAATCAATAAAATTATGAACAATATTAGTTAATTAAAGTGGGCAGGCCTTTGAAGTAGAGAAAAAGTGCGGGGCAACACACTAAAAAGAACACCAAACAAACCTTTAAAACCCTTACCTAACCTTTCCTAATTCGTAAAAAGGTTAAGAATCGCGCTTTCAAGTTTATGAGTCTCTCCTCACCTGAACACTGAAAACACCACCATCACATACGACACACTGAAAGCACAAATTACGTAAGATTTTTATAGTTTTAGGATTTTTATAAGTTAGGAAAGGTTAGGTAAGGTTTTCAAAAGTTTGTTTGGTGTCTTTTTTTTTTTGGTATTTCAACCTAACATTTTCCCTCTACTTCAAAGCCCTGCCCACTTTGAACAACTAATATAGTTGGTAATTGGAGGGGTCATATCAGTTAAAATACTTGAAAATTTTAGGATTTTAAATTTAGGTTAGGTTAGATTAGTTTTGGCATGGTTAGGTTGAAATTATGTTTTTTTTCCAGTGGTTTTTTATGTTTTTTGAACAACTTCCAAATAGGTGCATGACCAAAACAAAAGTTTTATTGAAAAATATAATTTTCTGACAGAAATGCTATAGGATTTTTTCTTTCTCACTATATAAGGAAGCATTGGTAACTAGTAAATATTAACCGAAAAAGTAAACCTCATTGCTTGGTCGAGGAGTTGGTGTGTATATAATCACCGTGCTTCCTCAAGTTGGAAATAAGACTATACCACTCTCATCAAGTATTAATTTACCCCCTTGGAATTACACTACTCATTCTTTGGTACTGACATATAAAGTTAAATGGTTAATATTGACAACTGACCAAGAGACGAGTTATTTGTTTTGCTGTTTATTTTCTTACTCTACTTTTATCAGCGAGTTCTGGTATGATAATCAATTCTTGTGCAAATGCTTCGTTTGGTAGATAATTAGGAACCTATGCATGCACTACTCTGTTTTTTCAGCAGTAATGCAGCGAGGGCGTCTCATCCCAGGATGTAAACAGCCAATCATATTGACGTATTTCAAAACACTCCGCCGCCCAGGCTGGATCAACGCCGATGCTCAGTTTATGCTTATGAACCGGTCGGTATGGGCAGCTGCTCTCACGTCCACAAAAAAATTAAAATTACACCACATCATAGTAAGTTCTTTCTGTTTAATATACAGCTAGGAAGTTAGGTAAAGTGATAAAATTCCAGATTACAGCAACCAAAGAATCTAATAAAAAAAAAAGGTGTTACCTAACCTAATTGTTACCGCAAGCAGTAATGATTACGATGACCCATAAACAAACATTATGTTAGGGTGTAAGTCATGTCATGTTTATTGGGCGTGCCTGCCCATATATAGAGTATTGAGATGGTGGAGATGGAGATACCCAGAGGAGGTTGGGGTGTTGGGTGGTAGTAAGGGCTGGGCATGTGATGCCGGGAAGGGCACAGTCACTGTAGCTATCCCCATCACAGAGTCAACACCTAACCTGTTTCTCTTGAGACTTTCAACCCGTAAGTTTAACTTGTACTTAAGTTTACACAGGTAGACTGTGTCCATTGCATCGGTTATCATTGTGACAACATAGAAATATGGCAAATTAAGTACTCTTTATAAGTGTTAAGATTAGACTAATTACATAGCTATGATTGTTATGTGAATATATATTGGATTAAACATTTATGTATGATTTATTATTTGAAATACTAAAATGAATTGTATTCAACAGGTTTGACCAAATTATAACGTGAAGAGTTTAACGTGAAGAGTCTGATTAACCTTTAAACGCTCAGAAGGCGTTTACACTAATGTAATGTAAGAAAATGATCATTGAAAAAATAGTTCTATTGATTGAGTGTAGTGAATTCCCAAAATTCTATGGTTGCTGTTTACTGCAATATTATCGGTAAAGTTAGGTAGGTTTGTTTGGTTAGGTTGGTGAGGTCTTCTAACAATGCTTTTACCACTTGTTTACCTTATCAACTAAGGTTAGGTTAGGTTTAATTTAGAAATAACCACTTTTTAACACATTTGCTCAAATTACGACAGTGTCCAGTAGAAAACACGGTCAATTTATATTACCACACCGGAAATCACGTTTTTTTTTTATACCCCCCCCCAAACAATCATAATGGAAAAAGTTGGATTTTTTTTAGAATAAAGAACATAAGTTATTTTACCAACCAACCAAGAAAGAATAGAATCAAACCAAGAAAGAATAGAATAGAATAGAAAAGAAAAGAAAAGAAAACCAAACCTAACCTAACCCCCGTCGGAGGCCTGTAGCGATGTGTGAGCAGGGGGTCAGATCACCTCCGCCATAAGCAAAAAAATCATGGAGACACTTGTTACTGAGCGACAGTAATAATCTTGAAAAATTATCTCGTTTACCCTTAATTTCCGGTGGAAATATCATAGAAGAAAAAGCCTTAGAATTGTGTAAACATTACGAGATACATATTTTTAATACATAAGTAAAGACCGGTGTGATACTATAAATTCACCAAAAGCAGTGAAATTGCAACATTTTTATAATAATGTTCTATGAAAAATCGGCCGCAGGTCAATCGTCATTAATTATCAGTTAAAATTGGATTATTGGTGTTCCATACCAATCAGATATAGGACCAGTAAATTTGTGATATAAAAATTACATTCAGGGTAATCATCCACAAATTCAGTGTACAGTATGAACTTTAAAGGAAGTGTTTTTGCTGTTTTCCACTTAGAAAACAAAATAAATTTTACCATATCCATGAAAATCAATTCGACATTAAAGCTTAATGCTTGTTAATCTCTTGATCGTTTATAAATTTAATTGGAAAGTATTGAGTTGGGAACTTGATAAGGGTCAACATACGCCCACCTGAGGGAGGCCTTGCACCATCACATATCAACTTACCGCTAAAACAGAGCTTTCGCACCTTCTTTATGTCTATCACATCTTGGCTCAGTACCGTGTCAAACTCTTGCAACCTGAAAAGCGGGTGACATTTAATACGAGGATCATAATACCAATATATCATAAAGTGTACGGAAATAACCAAGGGCTTTGTTTACCTCGCTTTGTATGCAGCCATGATTTACTGAGACATGAGACGTTTTCTGTGGAAATAAAAGGTAATGATTGGTACCAAATTAGTGATTCACATAACATACATTGCTAGGGCATAATTATCTTATTCATAATTTGTGATGCAAAAATATTTGTAATGTGAGTTATTGAGGTTGAATAAAGAGGTGACAGTTTGGATTGACGCATGCGCTGTACCCGTCACCATCCGTCCCCGAGAACGAGTAACAAGGGAACACTTCAAGCCAATCTTTGTTAAAATTCAATTAAACTGTTTATTCCATATCATAAGAAACGGATTTTTAGTGCTGTCCCTGGTTCCGCCTGTACTATGCTGCCATAACTACTTGGCTTGACTCTCGGGTACATACAAATTAAATAATATATAGGCCTTAATAAGCCTAAGTAAGGAGGGACATTCCTTCAAAAAACATTATTATTTATGAAATATCTAGCCAGCATGCAACGTTTTATAATTTGTCCCGCGAGGGGGCTAGTTGATTGGGCATCCCGTTGCATCCTGTGCAAGGCAAAGCGCAAAAAACGTTACTAGGTACTCAGTTAATCGAAAATATCCAAAGGAGAGCCTGTAGTGGATTCCTCCCCTACAAGCACCGAACCTTCTCGAATTCCCGTCTACGCCTCCAGCGCCGCCCACGGAGCGGGGGTCAACTATCTACCCATGCCTACCCCCGCCTTTTATAAGGCCTGACACCGCTGTGACCACCCTCTTTCTACACAGTGCCACCAGCAAGCAACACCTCCTCCTCCGCGCCAGCCTAGCGGCTGCCGTTCCCGCCAGCGACCTTGGCGTCCCTCAACCTTGTAGGGGTATCGAAATATTAATGTTGTCTAGCACTCAGGATGGAAGGAAACTCTAATGTGGTTTTCTTGTATAATATATAAGTTATATGATAGACAGTCTGGTGCTGGAGATGCCGTGTGGTGGGGAGCAGCTCAGTAGAAGACGTTCGGTGAGTAGCGTGTTGAAGGAGGTAGATGTGCAGGAGCTTCGTTAGAGAAGATGTTGCCTGTTGCTGGCCTCCTGGTTGAATGAATGCTGGATAGCTAGGAGCTTGCTGGAGGAGGTGTTGCGTGCTCAGGAAGATGGGCCAGAATGAGAGTTGGTTGGTGAGGAAGCTCAGAGAAGGACAGCTGGTGGGTCGCCATGCTCGCTGGCGGGAGCGAGGACCGCCAGGCAGGCGAGGAGAAGCGAAGGGAGCCAGGCAGCGGCTGAGGAGGTGTTGCTAGTTCAAGAAGAATGGTCAGAATCAATCTCAATGGAGAGACAGAGCTTATATACCCAGCAGCAGCCGCTATGAGTCATGTTGGGAAAACCCGAGAAGTCGCCGGTGACTAGTTCCGTTGCTAAGATACGGTAATATCTGGTTGGTTGCTAGGGAGGCGGTAGCAGTTTGGTGACGCCGCTACGCAGTTGTAGGGGAGACGTCCACTACAATACTCCCCCTTCCCTCCAGGCGGTGTAGGAGACTTGTTGTCTGTAGAGTTGCTTAGCACATGTGAGGCAGACCGGGCGGTGCATGCCTCATGTGAGACAACGGCGATGGCGTGATGAGCCGATCGCTGAAATACAACTGTCTAGATACACATTATCTGTGGGAGAAGGGAGAAAAAGGGTGTGTGGAGGCGATGGATGTTGTGCTTCCCTCACGACAGGTACAGGGTCGTCAGATGCGCCTGCTGGGGTGTGGGCCTGGGTCAGCGTCTGAGGCAGGGCCAGGTGTGCTGGGGTCGTGGGATGTGGTGCTTGGGGCAGGAAGAGGCAGTGTCTGCTTGAAGACTGGGAGGCGTGATCAGTGTCTCCTCCATCCTGTGTAGTGCTAATCTCTGGGAGTCACCATTGTAGGGGTATCGAAATATTAATGTTGTCTAGCACTCAGGATGGAAGGAAACTCTAATGTGGTTTTCTTGTATAATATATAAGTTATATGATAGACAGTCTGGTGCTGGAGGTGCCGTGTGGTGAGGGGCTGCACGGTAGAGACGTTCGGTGAGTAGCTTGTTGAAGGAGGTAGATGTGCAGGAGCTTCGTTAGAGAAGATGTTGCCTGTTGCTGGCCTCCTGGTTGAATGAATGCTGGACAGCTAGGAGCTTGCTGGGAGGAGGTGTTGCGTGTTCAGGAAGATGGGCCAGAATGAGAGTTGGTTGGTGAGGAAGCTCAGAGAAGGACAGCTGGTGGGTCGCCATGATCGCTGGCGGGAGCGAGGACCGCCAGGCAGGCGAGGAGAAGCGAAGGCAGCCAGGCAGCGGAGGAGGAGGAGGTGTTGCTTGTTCAAGAAGAATGGTCAGAATGAATCTCAATGGAGAGACAGAGCTTATATACCCAGCAGCCGCTATGAGTCATGTTGGGAAAACCCAGAAAGTCGCCGGTGACTGGTTCCGTTGCTAAGATACGGTAACATCTGGTTGGTTGCTAGGGAAGGCGGTAGCAGGTGGTGGCTGTGGCTACGCAGTTGTAGGCAGTTGTAGGGGAGACGTCCACTACAATACTCCCCCTTCCCTCCAGGCGGTGTAGGAGACTTGTTGATTGTAGAGTTGCTTAGCACATGTGAGGCAGACCGGGCGGTGCATGCCTCATGTGAGACAACGGCGATGGCGTGATGAGCCGATCGCTGAAATACAACTATCTAGATACACACTATCTGTGGGAGAAGGGAGAAAAAGGGTGTGTGGAGGCGATGAATGTTGTGCTTCCCTCACGACAGGTACAGGGTCGTCAGATGCGCCTGCTGGGGTGTGTGTGGGCCTGGGTCAGCGTCTGAGGCAAGACGGGTGTGCTGGGGTCGTCAGAATGTGGTGCGTGGGGCAGGAAGAGGAGCCGGTGTCTGCTTGAAGACTGGGAGCGTGATCAGTGTCTCCTCCATCCTGTGTGAGTGCTAATCTCCGGGAGTCACCATTGTAGGGGTATCGAAATATTAATGTTGTCTAGCACTCAGGATGGAAGGAAACTCTAATGTGGTTTTCTTGTATAATATATAAGTTATATGATAGACAGTCTGGTGCTGGAGGTGCCGTGTGGTGAGGGGCTGCTCAGTAGAAGACGTTCGGTGAGTAGCGTGTTGAAGGAGGTAGATGTGCAGGAGCTTCGTTAGAGAAGATGTTGCCTGTTGCTGGCCTCCTGGTTGAATGAATGCTGGACAGCTAGGAGCTTGCTGGGAGGAGGTGTTGCGTGTTCAGGAAGATGGGCCAGAATGAGAGTTGGTTGGTGAGGAAGCTCAGAGAAGGACAGCTGGTGGGTCGCCATGCTCGCTGGCAGGAGCGAGGACCGCCAGGCAGGCGAGGAGGAGCGAAGGCAGCCAGGCAGTGGCGGAGGAGGAGGTGTTGCTTGTTCAAGAAGAATGGTCAGAATGAATCTCAATGGAGAGACAGAGCTTATATACCCAGCAGCCGCTATGAGTCATGTTGGGAAAACCCAGAAAGTCGCCGGTGACTAGTTCCGTTGCTAAGATACGGTAACATCTGGTTGGTTGCTAGGGAAGGCGGTAGCAGGTGGTGGCGTGGCTACGCAGTTGTAGGCAGTTGTAGGGGAGACGTCCTACCCCTCCTCTGGGCACCCTCACCACCCAGCTCTCTCTACTCAACGCTCATTACCATGCTACCTACCCAGCAACAAGCTGCATTGTACATCCAATACAATATGTATACAGTGAGCACATTGTGAGTTTCCTTTCTCCATCCCATCCTGAGTGTGAACCAATATCTCATAACCCTACAAGACACCAGACGGGTGGCTGTACTTCTTTTTTACTTTTACTTTTATCCTCTTCACCACTGATCGGCTCGTTAGCCGCTTGGGCGATCAGTCACGTCTCTGTCACGCACTGTTGGCAAGTACTGGGCATGCACCGGCTCCTGAATGTACCTGAACCCGCTCCAGTGGTAGTCAAGTCTTGTCTTGAAAGAGTTCACACTCGGTGCTGTCACAACACCTTCTGGTAGATTGTTCCAAGAGTTTACAACTCTCACTCCGAAAAAGTTTGCCCTCACAGTTTTCTGGACTTGCGACTTCTTCAATCTTGAGCTGTGACCCCTTGTGGGGCGAGCGTCCGCCAGCTCCAAGTAAGGACACTCGACTGAGTAGTACCCCCTCACATGCTTATACACCTCAACTAGGTCACTCCTTACCCGTCTATAGTATAAGCTAGGCAAGTTCAGGCTCTCCAATCTTTCAGTGTAGCTGAGGTGCCGAAGTGCAGGCACCAGTCTGGTGGCCCTCCTTTGAACATTTTCAACCAACTGACAGTCCCTAGCATATCCCGGGCACCAGACGGGGTGACAGTACTCCGCATGGGGAAGCACTTCACTCTTGAAGATCGTTACGAGGGACGGACCGTCTAGATATCTGAACGACCTTTTTATAAGACCGAATAATTTATTTGCCTGATTTACCTTCTTCTCGTAATGGCCCGAGAACTTCAGCTCATTGTCAACATACACACCTAGGTCCAACTCACATTCAGTCTCAACTAGTGCAGTTTCTTCATCCGTTGGGACATATGATACGCCTCGTTACCGTTGGTACGCCCCAGGTGCATCCTCTAACACTTCGTGACAATTGAATCTCGGCAGCCATTTCTTCGACCATTCCTGGAGCCCACAGAGGTCCTTCTGCAGCTCTGCACAGTCCGCTTGGTTCTTAATTTCCCGAAATAACTTGACGACATCGGCAAACATTTGTATGGAGGAGTGTACAACGTCAGGCATGTCATTTATGAAACAAACAAACAATAGCGGGCCCAATACACTGCCCTGTGGTACCCCACTTGTGACAGGTACGAATGACGATTTCGTGCCATTAATCACCACACACTGCTTGCGGTCATGTAGAAAGTCTTCTATCCATGCTAGGACATTTCCCCGAATTCGGTACCCTTCCAGTTTGATTTTCAGCCTTTACTTTTACTTTTATCCTCTTCGCCACTGATCGGCTCGTTAGCCGCTTGGGCGATCGGTCACGTCTCTAATTACTTTTCCTTTTCATTTATCCTCTTCACCAAAAGATCG